CTGACTGCTTTCAAGTGTCTCTGTTTGTCTTTCCATAGTTTGATCATAATATATCTAAGTATGGATCTCTTAGTTTGTCCTGCTTGGAGTTTATTGAGCTCTTGAATATGTGATCTTTTTCATCAAATTTTGGAAGTTTTGGCCATTGTTTCTTGATATATTCTTCCTGTCTGTCTCTTGTTCTCTCTCTTCTCCTTCTGAGATTTCCATTATGCATATGGTGATATGCTTATGGAACAACACAGGTCTCTCAAGCTATATTTATTTACCTTCATTCTTTTTCCTTTCTTTTCTTCAGACTGGATAATCTCAGTTGTCCCATATTCAAGTTTGCTGATTCTTTCTGCTGCCTGCTCAAATTTCCTGTTGAACCCTTAGGTAGGAGGATTGGGTTGCTCAAATCTTATACAGTTAAAAGAAATGTTTATCTTCAGGCCTGGCCATTGGCTGGCTCCTGGAAAGTAGCCTTTGAGCCCTTGGAATATTCTTCCTGATATGAGTGTCTATATGCCTAAAGCCCTGAACCATACCGTATTTGTGGTATTTATGGTAAATCCCTGTTTTTGTATGACTGAGCCCTTGGGCTATACTGTACCAGCTTGACTGGATAAGTTTGTCCTAAAAAAGTGATTTGTGATGAATGCCTGATTTTGCTCTGTGGAAGACTGGAGTCTGAGTATCTGAGGTCATTCATATGGGCATTGCATGCCTATGTGATTGACCACCAACAAAAACTCTGTATACAAAGGCTTAAGTGAACTTCCCTAGCAACACTTCACATGTGTGGTCATACTTTCCTGCTAGAACAGTTAAGGACATAACTATGTGACTCCACTGGGAAGGGATACTTAGAAGTATGAACTTGATTTCTCTCAGATTTAATCCATGTAACTTCTCTCTCTCTGTCAATTATGATACATCCTTTTGCTATTATAAACTGTAACCATGAATATGGCAGTTTCTGAATTCTATGAGTCTTTCTAATGAATCATTGAACCTGAGTATGGTATTGGATATCCCCAATATAATAGTAAAGTTTTCATTTCAGTTATTTTCTTGTTTATTTCATAATTTTTATTTTTTTCTTATAATTGGTATCTCTGTATTGATATTCTCTGTTTGGTCAGATATTAGTCTCATATTTACATTTAGTTCTTTAGATGTGGTTTCCTTTAGTTCTCTAGATAAAATAACTGATTTAAAGTACTTGCCTAGTAGGTCCAACTTCTATATTTCCTGGGCAGTTTCTATTCATTGCTTTATTTCCTAGGTATGGACCATGCTTTCTTGATTCTTTGCACATTTATATGTGGTTTTGTGCGTTTGTGAAAACTGGATCTTTTAAATAATATGGCGACCCCGGACATCAGATTAGCCTCCCAACTTCTGCTCCCCAATGACTTTTGTGAACTAATCCTATAAAGTCTATATTCTTTGTCATGTGTGGCCTCTAAAGTCTCTGATTAGTTATCTTAGTAGTCAGCTAATAATTAAACAGATATGTTCTTACATACATTTGCCAGAAAGTTCTGTGTAAATGTTGGAGAATGCTTTAAACATTGAGACAGGCAGTTGATAGCTCTGTGTTAGCATTCACTACTTGATTGCACAGAGACTCAAGGTTATCCCAAGATGAGAATATAGGGCCTTCTTGGGCCTTTCCTGAACATTCACACAGCCCTGCATATTCATATGTAGATGCCAAAAAGATGTTGAAACTTTTCAAAGCCCCTATGGAAATCTCATTCCCTAAGCTTTTCCTTATAAGCCCTTTGGTTAATCAATTGTTTGTCCCAGCTGTTATCCACAATTTTAGGCAACTGAAATGTTTATAAATTGCCTGTGTTTTCAAAAATACCCCAGGGAAAGTATTTTTATGCTGGAAGATCTCTGAGTCAGGTCAAATAAAGACAACTTTGCAAGTGGGTCAGGTAAAAAAACCAGTTCTTTTTACCAGACAGGTAAAAAAAAAAAAAACAGTTCTCTTCAATAGAGGCTTAGAAAGAACTCTACCTTTGTTGTATCCCTTTTGGAAGCTACTGAACAGCTGGTTTTCACCATGATTGCAGAATGTTTATTTTCAAGGCTGCTATGGTGCTGGAGAGGGAAAGTTGAGAATAGGGCAAGGTAAAGTGCCAAGAAGCTTGCCATTCTTACCAAGATTCTGCTGTTTTTCCTGAATAAACCCACCCTGGATTGCTACAAATGTAGCAAAGTTTGGTTAACTTGTAGAGTTCAAAATTTTTTCATGCTAACAATTTTTACAGTTTTCTTATTTGTTGAGAAGATAATTTCCTTTCTTTACCATCTTTACAAACCTAGAGTAATTTTAAAATGTAAATTGGATGGGACGATCCAAGATGGCCAATCGCTAACATCCCGGGATTGCAGCTCTCAGGGAAGGCGCGGAGAACTAGAGGACGCCACACTTTCAGACAAAGTCTGGTCGCTCACGGAGCAGAAGATCCCCCAGTGGTGGAAACACACGGGTCGCCAGCGCGACTCTCGTGGTCGGCGCAGCGGTTCCGCCGGCACCTCGACGAGGCAGCTCTCGGAGCAGAGTAAACGGGACCGCTTCCCCTTCTGACCGAGGTTTGGAGCCCCAGGAAGGCAGAGTCGCCTACTACGGAAACAAGAAGGAAGCCCGACAAGATAATCCTGGGCAGAAAAGCACCATCAGTTTTAACGCCACTGCTCTGGCCCTGGGAACTAACTGGACGTCCACTCAAGAGACCTAATTGAAAGTTGGTAATTTCAAAGACGACAGGAGGATAAATTTACAATGACGGGAAGAAACCAGCGTAAAAAAGCTGAGAACACGCAAAGTCAGAACGCCTCTCCCTCTAAAGATGATCACAGTTCCACATCAACAATGGAACGAGGCTTGATGGAGAACGAGCGCCTCCTGATGACAGAATCACTCTTCAAGGAATGGATAATAACAAACTTCGGTGAGTTAAAAGAACATGTTGTAGCCCAACGTAAAGAAACTAGGAACTTTGAAAAAAGGTTTGATGAAATCCTATTGAGAATAGACAACTTAGAGAGGAGTATGAGTGAATTAATGGAACTGAAGAATACAATACAGGAACTCCGAGAAGTATGCACAGGTTTAAACACTCGAATTGTTCAAGCAGAAGAAGGGATATCAGAGGTCAAAGTCCAACTTAATGAACTAAAACGTGAAGAAAAGGTTAGAGAAAAAAGGATAAAAAGGAATGAGCAAAGTCTCCAAGAAATGTGGGACTATGTGAAAAGACCAAATTTACGTTTGATAGGTGTACCTGAATGCGACGGAGAGAATGAATCCAAGCTGGAAAATACCCTTCAGGATATTATTCAGGAAAATTTTCCTAAACTAGCAAAGCAGGTCAACATTCAACCCCAGGTAATACAGAGAACACCACAAAGATATTCCTCAAGAAGAGCAACCCCAAGGCACATAATCGTTAGATTCACCAGGGTTGAAACGAAGGAGAGGATACTAAGGGCAGCCAGAGAGAAAGGTCGGATAACCCACAAAGGCAAGCCTATCAGACTTACAGCAGATCTCTCGGCAGAAACTCTACAGGCCAGAAGAGAGTGGGGGCCAATATTCAACATCCTCAAAGAACAGAACCTTCAGCCCAGAATTTCATATCCAGCCAAACTAAGCTTCACAACTGAAGGAAAAATAAAATCTTTTATGAACAAGCAAGAACTCAGAGATTTTATTACCACCAAGCCTGCTTTACAAGAGCTTCTGAAAGAAGCATTACACACAGAAAGAAACAACCAGTATTAGCCTTTCTAAAAATACACCAAAAAGTAAAGAGCACCAACATAAAGAAGAATTTACACCAACAAATGGATAAAACAGCCAGTCAACATCAAATGGCAGTAACCCTAAATTTAAATTGACTAAATTCCCAATCAAAAGACACAGCCAAAACCCAAAGGCATGTTACATCCAGACCTGTTTCACATGCAAGGATACACAAAGACTCAAAACAAAGGGATGGAGAAAGATTTACCAACCAAATGGAGAGGAAAAATAAATAATAAATAAATAAAAAGCAGGAGTTGCAATTCTTATATCGGATAAAATAGATTTTAAAGCAACAAAGATATAGTGGTAAAAGGATCAATGCAACAACAAGAGCTAACGATCCTAACACCCAGATACGAGACTTAGATTCAATGAGACAGAAAATTAATAAGGATATCAAGGACTCGAACTCAGATTCAGAACAAGTAAACTTAATAAATATTTATAGAGCTCTCCACTTCAAATACACAAAATATACATTCTTGTCAATACCACATCACACCTACCCATTAGTTTAAATAAAACATTGATTGGCCATTATTAATACCCAATTTTTTTCAAAATAAAGCAATATTTCCATTTACTCTCCCTCTTTCTTCCTCTCCTTTACTTATTTTTTTTTTCTTTCCTTCTCTCAAAAAAAAAGAAATGAACTTGTAAACCTCTAGATCCAGGTCGGCAATGTCTCTTTCATTGCTTGATTTCCTTTCTTCCCTTCCCTCCCTCCCTCCCTCCCTGCTTCCTCCCTTCCTTCCTTCCTTCATCCCTTCCTTCCTCCCTACCGTCCTTCTTCCCTTCCTTCCTGCCTTCCTCCCCCGCCCCCCCCCAAAAAAAATGTAAATTGGATGTTATTTTTCTACTTTAAATGGTTTATTTTCAGTGTTCTTAGAATAAAATCCAAATTCCACGATCAAAGTCTATGAGACTAATAGGACTCTGTTTACATCCCCAGAATCATCTTTAACCCACTTCCCCCTCATTCAGCATGTTTCAACAACACAGAGATCCTTTATGTTCTTGAGAGTCAAGTGTTACGCAACCTTGCCTGTGTACATAGAGAATTGATTTCTGACCATTCTGTTGGTCCTCTACTTTTTTTTGTTGGCCTTATTTTCACCCCAAATTCAAGTATATTGGATAAGAGCCCCCCACTCATTTGCCATTCTCAGTAAAATTAAATTATGTCTCACAGGTCCTAGTGAGTCAGAGGTCTAAACCCTGACCACAGAAATGCAGTGTTCTCATTAGCCAGACCTGAGATCTTGTGCAAGGTGTGGAGTCACCTTTGGTGGAAGTACGTGGCTGGAAAGTAGAGCAGCAATGGTTGTGTAAAGTTGCTAGAAGAAGGTAAGTTGATACTGGGCAGAAACTACAACTACCTGTTTTCATGATGTTGCCTTTGGGTCTGTGCCCATACTGTTTCTTCTGACCAAAATGTTAAGCATGAGTGGCACATAATTAGTCTTCAAATCTTGTCTTCAGATATTTTCTCTTCAGATAGACCTCTGTTCTGATAATTTAATTCTAAATAGCTTTTGAATCTGCCACCACTATCCTAGTCAGAGCTACCATTTCCCCAATTATATCTACAATAGATTTCTGACTGGTATAACCACACCCACTCTTCTCAACTGCCCTATCTGCTCTCTATATTATTGTTGCATTATTTGTATATATAAAAAGGTTAAATATGACCACATCACATTTTTCATTCTTAAAACCCTTCAGACTTTTTCTCCTTTACGTTCATGGATGGTTTTTGCCTACCTACCTCTTAGATCTCGCCTACCCCTGTACTTCACCATCTCTTGCCTAGTCTCCGTACTGTGGCTACATTGGACTTTGATGGAACTCTAGACTTGCTAGGATCTCTTCTTTCAAAGGGCTTAGATAATGCTGTTCTATCTGCCTCAAACATTTTTTCTTATTCCTCATCATCTTAGCTTTTTTTGGCATTTCCTTAAATTTTTATTGAAGATTTTCAATTTACTCAAGTAAGATATGAATACATTCTTCCTTACAAAAATATCAAAAATTAAAACATTGCAGATAAAGTCAGGGTATAGGGTATAACTTTCCTAATCTTAGCGCCATCACAAGTTGTTAGTTTTTTTTTCTAAAATCACCTTTGTTCCAACAGATGGCCTAAGAACTCTTGAGTCACTTCTCTTGTCACCTAAGGCTACTCATCTTAGGCTGCAAAGCTGCCAATTATTTCAGAATGCACATAGAGTTTACTCCTGCCCCTACCCTTTTGTTCATACGTGGAATACTTCTTCCCAAACCAGCCTGAAGCATATCATTCTCTTAGTTTCTTTTCAAATAAAACTCAATCTACATTTTCTGTTGCAGTTTGAACAGGGAGCAGTCAGCCAGGGTGTTGCAAAGGATCACCAACTGCATCATTGTCAAGCACCCTCTTCAGGGAACCCTTATTCCTTCAGTTAACCATAGTCCATGGGTTCGCTTTTGATTTACAGATTCGGGAGTCTGATTTTGCCAGAATCCCATAAAGAGAGCTACCTTTTAGGGATAGACTCACATTAGACACATAGACTCATATGGCCAATTTTTAAATTTACAGTGAAAAATATCCTTCTCCTAGTGCCATGAACAGTGCTGTGTCAGCCTCAAGAGATAAACATGAGAATCCAAACTAAAATTAGAAATTGCTTGGTGCATATGAAATCAAACTGAAAAGCTCTTAGAACATAGTATCAAGTCTCTTCCCAGAACGTGGTACTAACTTACAATCTCACTGACTATATATCAATGACCATTTTAATACACTGTCCAACACTGTCAGACAGACAAACATCCATTCTCATTGTTTCAGTTAACATCAAAAGGCATTTTTTTTTCATTTCATTTCCTGCTTTCAAGTTCAGAGGTATATGTGTAGGATGTGTAGGTTCGTTACATAGGTAAATGTATGCCATATGGTGTGCTGCACAAATCTTCCTATCACCCAGGTATTAAACCCAGTACCCACTAGATATTGTTCCTGATCCTCTCTCTCTTCCCACCTCCTGCCCGCCAACAGGTCCCAGTGTGTGTTGTTACCCCTGATGTGTCCATGTGTTCTCATTATTTAGCTCTCACTTATAAGTGAGAACATGTATTTTGTTTTCTGTTCCTGTGTTAGTTTGCTAAGGATAATGACCTCAAGCTCCATGCATGTCCCTGCAAAGGGCATGATTTCCTTCCTTTTTATGGTTGCATAGCATTCCATGGTGTATATGTACCACATTTTATTTATGCAGTCTATCACTGATGGGCATTTAGATTGATTCTGTCTCTGCTGTTGTGAATAGTGCTGTAGTGAACATAAATGTGCATGTATCTTTATAATAATTTATACCCCTTTGCATGTGTACCAGCAATGGGATTGCTGGGTTGGATGGTATTTCTGTCTCTAGGTCTTTGAGAAACCACCACAATGTCTTCCACAATGGTTGAACTAATTTACACTCCCACCAACAGTGTAAAAGCATTCCTATTTCTCCACAACCTTGCCATCATCTGTTATTTTCTGACTTTTTAATAATAGCTATTCTGACTGGTGTGAGATGGTATCTCATTGTGGCTTTGATTGATTTGCATTTCTGTAGTCAGTGATGTTGATATTGAGCTTTTTTTTTTTTTTTTGAGTCTCACTCTGTCGCCCAGGCTGGAGTACAGTGGCACAATCTCAGCTCACTGCAACTTACAGCTGCTGGGTTTAAGCGATTCTCCTGCCTCAGCCTCCTGGGTAGCTTGGATTATGGGTGCCTGCCACCACGCCTGGCTAATTTTTGTATTTTTAGTAGAGACGGGTTGGCCAGGCTGGTCTTGAACTCCTGACCTCAAGTGATATGCCCGTTTTGGCCTCCCAAAATGTTGGGATTACAGGCGTTAGCCACTGTGCCTGGCCAGCTTTTTTTTTGTTTGTTGACCATATGTATGTCTTCTTTTGAGAATTATCTATTCATATCTTCTGCCCACTTTTTAATGCTTTTTTTTTCTAGTAAATTTGTTTGTTTCTTACAGATGCTGGATATTAAACCTTTGTCAGATGGATAGATTGCAAAAACTGTCTCTTATTCTGTAGGTTGTCTGTTTACTCAGTTGATAGTTTCATCTTAGCATTTACTGCTCATTCTTTTGGTATCAACCAAACTTTAGGGAAGCTTCTCTGACCTTGCTGACTAGGTCAAGTCCTGCTGTGATAAACTTTTATAGCAACAATTACTTTCCATCATAGCATTTATCACTATTACAGGTTGGAATTTATTTGTATAAGTACTTGATTAATATATCTTTTCCACTAGAATGTAAACTCCTTGAGAACAAGCCAATGTCTAATTTGGCTCACCATTGCATCCTTAGAACACTATCTGACTTACAGTAATGTATTAGGCATTCAGTAAGTAAGCAGATAGTAGAGGTGTTTAATAGGAAATTCTGAAATGCAAATTTTTGAAGCTGCCCTATTTTAGGATGGCTTGCTTAAAGGCTTTTATTCATCCCTAATTGGTGTGGTCAAGACATGAGAAGTAATAGCTCAGGTCTTGGACCATTGATCCCAGGGGTCACTCACCTCACCTATTTGCTATGTCTTTACTTGGAGGCACTGACCTTGATGTTATTTTCTATTTAATTTTCTTCTAAGTATTCTCTTAGCCTAAAATGTAGTCTTCATAGCTTTACTTAGTGCTCTTTTCTGTCATCAGTGTAGACTTACAGATGTGAATTTTTAACGCATGTTTTGACCTAAATAACTGGTTAGGAGCTTTCAATTTCATTACTGCCATTGGCACTTCTAAAGATCAGCAATCCTTTGTTGCTCACTGCCCAGTACCATTACTGATCTAGCCTCCAAGTAAAGACTGAAGGCAGATAGAAATAAACACACAAGTTTGGTAGGAGACAGCCTTACTAAAGTCAATGTTTAAAAGAATCATGGTCCCTTAAGTCAATTCGAAAGAACCAGTGGACTGATGGGAAATCTTGCAACCTCAGGTACATCCCATGTGGAAATTGAACCTAGACATTCCTCAAAGAGAGGTTGTCATGTATATGGGTAACTATAGCTTGGAGGGTGGAAAAGGCACAAACTTTTAGGGAATTTGGAATCTAAATCTAAGTTTACTTGAATTCCTGAAAATGTGGAGAACCATTATAGTCAGTATTTTAAGGCAAGGAATTATGCTGGCTAACTGAAAAAGGTGTTTTAAATTTACCACCAGGACCCAAAACTCAACAGACAGCCATTTACCCACTATGAGAGTGTATAGTTGGGATAGAAATCCTCAACATATGGCAGAATCCTCACTTTGTAAAACAAAAAACAGAAAAACCCTTAAGTCCTTAAGGACTGTTAGGGTAGCATCAACGGGGAAATTATTTGGACTCTTTTTTCCCATCAAAATATTAAGTCAGAAGCAAGATTACTTTTTCAGGGGGAACTGCAGAGATTAAAGCTATTATTAAAGATTTGTAAGATGCTGGCCAATGATTTCTCTCTCCCCATTCAATACCTCAGTATGGTCAATGCAAAAACCAATGCTAACTCCAACTCTACTTTCCTGTCTCCAAATGGCTTCTTTACTAAACAGATTAATAAAATTCCTGATTTCTGATCTGTAGTCCATGATATGTCGATCGTGTGTCACCTTCTTGCTGCTCAATTGGACTGTTAGGATTAGGAGCAGTTGATTTCACCTGACAGGAGCAACAGTTTGTTTACTCTGTGTCTGTGCCAAAATCCGGTCCTCTGGAGCCTTGACATTGCATTCCTCCTAGGCCATGACTCTGATACAATACATTTACAATCTCAAGCTGATTACTCCTGGAGAACAGCAAGTGGCAATGCCCCAGATAACTTAGGAAGAAATAAGAGTAAGTGAGACATCTTTCAGAAATAAGAGAACCTGCTTCCTCTGTCCTAGAAAGAAGAGGGAGGTTCTAATGTCAATGATATGATAGAGTATTCTCCCTAAGTGGAAAACAAGTTGCGGTACATAATATTAACAGGGAATCTTTCTGGATTTTGGAATTTTTGTGATCTCTGGCCAACTAATAGGTGACATAAAAATTTGACCAGAGTAGATTAAGAGAAGGTTTTCCAGCTAGCCCAGTCTGCAAGGAAAGCTGCCCTGCCAGGTGACATGATAGCCACACTGATCCAATAGTATCCAAGATGCATGAAGCAGACCAAAATGGTAAGAAGCAATAGAGCCTTGAGCATAAAGAGTTACTGCAAGGAACTCTGGGATTTTGGAGCTAACTCTGTCATATTAGCAGTAACTATTCTCTTTTTGTGTGACATCTCCTGTCTTGCTTCTAGATCCAAATATCCTCCCATTTCAGTGGGTATAAAGAAAAAAAGAAACAAATATCTGATTATGAAGTCAGCTAAATGTGAAACCTGGGCTGCTCTGCATTAACTGGATATCACCAGTTTCACAATCCATAAAACTAGGTTTATTTGAAAATACTCCAAGTGGTATAAAAAACAACAGGATTTACAGGCCACAGGAGTTAAAATATTATTTAAATGGGTTGCTCAATTGGAACACTGAAGCACAGACATTTTATATATTTATAGGAAGGACTAAATAAAGTCTTGTGGAATGAGACTGAACACACAAATCTGTTTCTAGCAATTAAAAGATTTCTACTAAATAGGAAGCAAATACTTTATTGAAATAAAATTCACCAGACATTAGACTTCATTAATATTTATTTTAAAGATCAACTTTTATTGTAACAAATATAAAGTCATCAATGTTTTACAAATTATCAAAAATGCTTTAAGTACAAAAAAATACATTAGTAAAATGAAAGTTATGTTGTATTACTTGGTACACAATACTGTCAACATGCACAACATATGCCAGAAAAGCTCATGCATTATTGGAAGAGAGAAGAAATATGATATAACTGCTGTATTGTCTGATTATAAATTCATTGCTTCAGTCAGTTTTCTTTCTTCAGGGATACCATTTACCTGCAATGTGTAAGAATGAATATGGGCAGGTGTTAGGGCATGGTGACTTTTAGATTTTGAGCAAAGCAAATTATGGCAAGGATAAAATTTCCATCTTCTTTATACAATGTAAAATAATTACATTGCATGATTTCTCTCTATTTAGTTAAAAAAAAAAAAAAAGAAGAAAAGAAAAAATTCTAAATCAGTCCTCTCCTTCTTGGACCAAAGCTATATATTTTATATTTCCCAAAAGGTACAGTCTGAAAATTCCTCCCACAAGAAACAAAAAGAATGAGGTTGACTGCGGGATGTATTACCGTACCTTTTCATCATGGCTTTTAAAAAAATACCATGTGGGCTGGTAGGGCAGAGAAAATGAGAAAACCTGAAGGGGCATCAAACCTAATGGTTTGGGTCTAGTCCAAAAGATAGTGCGATTGTCAGCTTTTAACTGCTCTATTATCCCAGCTAGTGCTCAAGTCCAGGACTACAACACCAGCAGCTAGTTCATTTCTTAAAGTTTTGATGAGAATTTAAAAGAAAACAAGTAACTTAATTAAAAAAAGAAGAACTTCAAGATATACTTTCTCCTGATAAATTCCATACAGGTAGCTACAAATAAAATTACTTGATATCCAAGACAAACTCTTGTTCCTAAATTACCTTCATAAAGAAAACTGACATGTGCATAGTGTGCTGTGGTACTTGGAAAACTCCAGATTCTGTTTAACAATAATCATGCATAAATGTAGTTTCCTCTTTGCAGTATTAGAATAATCATGGTAAAAGAATAGAAAAGCTGTTGTACTCACAAAAATATATGCACAGCACTGAATCCATGCATTTTTAGATAGAATAATTTAGAAATTGAGAAACAAACTTTTTATTTAAATAAATAGAATGGCAATAAGGAATATAAATTGCCCATTAGCCCTTCTCTCCAGGCGGCATGCCTCCATTTAGTTTTTTTGTTTTGTTTTGTTTTGATATAGAGTCACTCTGTTGTCCAGGTTGGAGTGCAGTGGTGTGATCTCAGCTCACTGCAAACTCTGCCTCCTGGTTCAAGTGATTCTCCTACCCCAGGCTCCCAAGTAGTTGGGACTACAGGCACGTGCCACCACACCCAACTAATTTTTGTTTTTTTTTTTAGTAGAGATGGGGTTTCCGCCATTTTGGCCAGGCTGGTCTCGAACTCCTGACCTCAGGTGATCCACCCGCCTTGGCCACACACCTGGCCTCCATTTAGTTTTAAATGTACCAGAGGTACAAACACACCAATCTTTTATAATTATAAAAAAAATGCTAGGGTGGTCTCTCCCTTTGGCATTAGATATTGTAGGGACTCACTGAAAAAACTACAATAACAACAAAACAACCAAGAGGAGATAGTGTATTTTAGTCAGTAATATGATCCAAATTGCAGAGAAATGTAAGAAAACAAGAAGGTAATAGGTTCTAGTGTTAACTAAAAAGAAGAGCAAAGCTTTCTTGACTCAAGCAAAATGCCTGATCCTTAAAATCTGTTTCAGAAAAATAATTTTATAAATTGAGTTAAACAACCTTAAAATCCCCTGGGAAAACTCCAACTCTTGTATTTGTTTAGGTATAAATTGTCCTTGTATTTGAAAATGCTCTGTTACTAAAATGTAGCAAGTTAACAAGCATACTTGCTAAAACAAATCTATGTGACTATTAAATTGCCCTAATATCATCTACTCAAGTTTCCTATTTCCCCTAGTGGGTAAGTAAGTAAAGTCTAGATTTTTAAATACTCAAAAGAAATATTTACTATTTTTCTAGAAATTGCCTCCTTTCTACTCAGTCCATGCCTGAAATAATTAAGCATCAGAAGAGAGACATCTTAGGAGAGATGGAAGCTATAACGTTAATGATGAAGAAGTTCTATGGTTTCCATTGTAGAAATATTCTTTTAGAAATTTTCTTCTTTAAAAAAATAGCCATGAAATTAGTGGTACTAGGAATTCATTTATCTTTTTCTCTCTTTAGGTGACTCATTTTTATAACAAAGTTTGTTCCTTCATCAATCTCCTGAATGCTTACAAAGTAGCAACAATACATCAATATATTGAATAGTCTTGTTGAAACACGTTAGCATTTAATTAAAACAAGTAATCAAATTGTAGGAAAAATTCTGATAAACATTATCTTGTAACTAAAATCTGATAAACAATTTCATTATACTTGCCTCAAATCTTTGAAAAGTTGTCAAACGAAAATCTCCTTAAATTCAGGAAAGCAGTAATAGAGAAGATAATTTCTGAATGAAAACATTTCTGTATGTGCCTGAAGTTTTTAAGAGACTTACTTAATAGTTTCCCTACCACAATGCCACTATTCATACTTAGAATTCCACACCCAACTTACATTTTTAAAACTTCTCTTGCTTTTCCAAAAGAGCTACAAAGGCATTAATGGTTGCCTGGCAATTAGAACTAGGAATCAACCACTAATTAGAAGACAATCATGAATAAGTTATCTACTCAGTATAGAGATGAATGAAATAATTGGCTGTGGAAAATTTTTAGGGACACTTGAAAGAAATAAAGAAAGCAAGTCTTAGGGAAATAGAATAGTCCAAGGAGAACTGTCCGCCATCTTGTTGTCACTGGTCATGTTATAACGGCTTTTTAAAGCAGGTTTAAAACCAGGCCAGCCACTTCTCATTTATCCCACTGAAGCCTCAGTGATTAGTCACAATGGTTTCCTTTTGTAAGAGTCAGTTTCAAGCTGCTCACTTACTGAGACAAATCCTGGATGCATCCAAGCTAAGAATCTTTCATACCAAAGGGAAGAATAGGGAGCTTCACTAAAGGAAAGGGGTTTTATTCAATCTTCCTTAATTAGACAGGACCTCCATGGATGCTTTTGCTCTAAGATCATTTACCCTATGTTTATCATTCTGATGCCAAGCTACGTCATAATCTAAGCTATTATTCTGAGGTTCTATGTCTATGTCTATGACACAAATCTTATATAGTGCCATAATTATCTTTTAATCTATTAGATTCATCCATAAACATGAATTTATTATTCTTAGCACTCACCTGTAGTCTGCTGTTGGGGAATCTGAGTCTGATGTGGCAAGTTCCTAGAAATGATGAACATTTTTGAGTAAAGCTGTGTTTGTTACACACTTGTAAAAAGAGAACAGACATACTAGATTGAAAATCTTTACAGGTAACTGTAACTCCAGTAATGTAATCCAGCACAATTCCCCTCCCCCTTCATGAGTTTACAGATGAGGAAACTAAGGCCTGAGGAGAATAAAAATTAACAATATTTGATAACATGCAGGAATCTTTCACTACTTGCTATACTCTAAAGTACCTCACAACAATCCTAAGAGGTAGACATTAATATTTTCCCCATTTTATGGGTGAGGAGATAGTCTTGCAAGAGATAGTCTTGCAAATCCAACGGCACATACCTAGGACATGGAAGGTAAAGATGTGAACACAGTGGCTTGTGCTCTTAACCTATATACTTTCAGATCCAGGTCTAGAAGACATATGCTCACACATTTTATGGAAAATAAATATAACCTTCATTCACTATCTCAAACATCTGTGTTCTTTTATCTTCATGTCAGGAATGACAGTGGCCATGCATGCAAATGCATTAGCAAAATGCAGAAGTCATCCTTGTTCCTTCCCTCTCCTTCAGTCCCCACATTCATCCACTTAGGGACTTTGGCATTTCTTTTTGTCTCATTTGGATCTGCCCCATTCTTCCCCATCTCCATTGCTAATTAATAATGGCTTGGTTGAAGCCATCATAATTTCTCACTTGGATCCTTGTAATCGATCTGACTTGTTTCCTTGTTCACATTCTTGTCCCCTTATAATCCACTCTGCCTACTGCTGTCAGAATGATCTTCTAAGACAGGGGTCTCCAACCCCTGGGCCACAGAACTTGGCTGCACAGCAGGAAGTGAAGAATGGCAGGTGAGCCAGCGAAGCTTCATCTGTACTTACAGCTGCTCCCCATAGCTTGCATTACCATCTGAGCTCTGCCTCTTGTCAGATCAGTGGCAGCAGTAGACTGTCATAGGACTGTGAACCCTAGGGATCTAGGTTGCGTACTCCTTATGAGAATCTAATGCCTGATGATTTGTCACTGTCTCTCATCACCCCCTGATGGGACCACCTAGTTGAAGGAAAACAAGCTCAGAGCTCTCACTGATTCTACTTTGTGCTGAGTTACATATTTCATTATATATTACAATGTAATAACGATAGAAATAAAGTGTGTAATACTACTCCTGGTCTGTGAAAAAATTGTCTTCCATGAAACTACTTTCTGGTGCCAAAAAGGTTGGGGACTACTGTTCTAAGACACAAGTCTGATTATGTCATTCAAATAACACACATTTCAATATTTCCTTATATTTATTGGAAGATTAAATTTCAGATTTCTTAATGTGACCTGGAAAGCCACAATATATCTCACTCCTACATGGAGTGCCCCATGTCTGCTTGAAGCATGGCTACAACCATATCCTGTACCTAATCAGCTCCCATTTGTCCTTGCAAACTCAACTCAGAACTTGTTATAACATACAGGTATTACTCTTGTAATTAAAAAATTTCCATAAGAAATGTTATTAAAATTTTTAACATATATGGCTCCTCTCTAAGCAACTCACATTTAGGTTACCATTTAGCATGCTTTCATTCACATGCTGATTGTCATTGTATTCTCTGCACATAATATTTAATTGCCCTAAAGTGTATTAACAATAAGAACTATCCTATTTTGTTTAGTATCCTGAGCAGTAAGCATTAAAAAGACTCACATATACCATGGCATGTGTATACCTATGTAACAATCCTGCACAATCTGCACATGTACCCCAGAACTTAAATATATTTTAAAAAGACTCACATAATATACGTTTATTAATATACAGATATACCCACTTAGTTTCAAATTTTGATATTAAAATTAGTTTATGAAAATGTACAATTTAGGTTATGTGTGAAAGAAACCCTAGGAGTCAGTCCTTTGCAATAAAGTTTGATCCAAGCTGGGGATTTTCAAAGTTTTGTGTTTTCTCTTTGGCACTGGGATTCCTCTTAATTGAAACCCTAAGCAAAGCTGTGATGTACAAAAGAGATAAATGTGAGGTTGCCTGGGTTGAAACAAGGGAGTTAGGAATCCTGTCCGCTTTGTTTTCTCTGCCCCTCATGCTGGCCCCTACAGCAATTCTAAGAAATCTCTAAGAAACAGTTTGAAAACCATTGATCTGAATTATTTCAGCCAGGCAAGTATTATGTTCCAAATACAACAATCTAAAGTGGAAAACAGTATTTAAACTCTTAATTTATTCTATAGTTAACACCTTTAAGTGATTTTTTTTAATGTTTCAGTTCCACCTTAAAGATATTACTAAGGAAATAATAAACTCAACTCTAACTCAAGTTGAGGAAGTTACTTAATAATTTGTTCCAACGATTATATTCTTTTTTATTGTTACTTATCAGCCTTACTTATCCCTGTGTGGGCTAGAGGAGTATTTCTTTTGTTTGTTCTTTCAGAATTTCACACAATGTATTTATATTGGTTTTGGTCACAAAGTAAAAAGATCAATTTATAAACTACAAAGAGGGAATCAGTTCTACATTTAAAGATGGCAAGGCAGGCCGGGCGCGGTGGCTCAAGTCTGTAATCCCAGCACTTTGGGAGGCCGAGGCGGGTGGATCATGAGGTCGGCAGATCGAGACCATCCTGGTCAACATGGTGAAACCCCGTCTCTACTAAAAAATTAGCTGGGCACGGTGGCGTGTGCCTGTAATCCCAGCTACTCAGGAGGCTGAGGCAGGAGAATTGCCTGAACCCAGGGGGCGGAGGTTGCGGTTGAGCCGAGATCGCGCCATTGCACTCCAGCCTGGGTAACAAGAGCAAAACTCCGTCTCAAAAAAAAAAAAAAAAAAAAAAGATGGCAAGGCAAACATCTTTACTACAGAAGTCAAAATGCAATTAGATGGGCATCTGGCATGGGGTGGGAGGATGTGTTTTACCTACTCAGGTGCAACTAATTTGGGTCTATTCTGTACTCGAAACAAATACAGTGCACCCTCTGTACACAAGCACTTCCTCATTCCTTACCATCTCTCCCTCTACCTAGCCTGTTAACAGATTAAATCAACACATTTCTACAAAATACAAAAATCAAAGAGGATAAAGAAAGTCCAGAATGTACGTGTTGTAACATAGGCAGTCACTGGTAAACAAAGACACAGGTTTTCCCATAGCTCTACATTAAGAATACTTCAAATTCAGTATCAGCATTTGGATGAGGTAGCTGGAGGCCAGACTCCCTTGTTGGCCCTCCTGTTGGCCCTCCTAACTGACCTTTCGGTGGAATTTAGCTTGGAAACCACTGATCAAAGACAACCTATGCTCTGTTGTTTCTCCTCTAGCTTCCATTTGTTCCTCTTTTGCTGCATTGCTAAACTTTCTAAATCACAATGGGTTGGGCTAGGTGAAAAGAGATGGCTGGTTGAGAAAAATGCCACACACAAACTAGCAAGAAATTTAGAGAAGATAAATAAGAAAGCAACTGTGTGTCTTATATTGATTTACGGACTGAAAAGCATAGTGCATGTTCTAAGTGGTTATGTTTGAACAATGCACATGCACTCCTTGTAATTTCAAAGGAAACTTAGATGAGTTATATTAAAAGTGCTTGTGTGGACAAAAAGGTGCTCAACCAAAAATTACTGCGACTCAACTTCCCCTGAATAAGTACAACCTATCTCCTATTTTGAGGGGGACCCTTGAGTCTCCAAGATATGTACAACTTGTAACTACATGCGAACCTGTATTAGAGTGTGAATACATCTATGATGGGCATCTTTAAAACTGTGTATTCCATTTAAGTGTTGAAGGAACACAGCTCGTTTAAGAGCACTGCTTCAGGCATACTAGAAAAAATGCCTACAACCTCAACTCTGCTAGTTAAAAGATACAGAAGATGCAGGAAGAAAGTGGAGCATTTTCATCTTTAGTGAGAGCAGGCTCCTAAAGGCAATTATATACAGGAGGGTCAACTTCAAGTAGAGGCCCTAGAATCCTTCCAAGGAAAGACCTTTCTAAAATCATAAAACAATTTAAAATAATGATTATTAGATGAAGTGAAAAATTATTATGCATAAACTGCATTACATAGAAATTTAAGAGAACTGTAACTAAATTATTAGCATTATTTTGTAATTTCATTTTCATTAATTTCATGCATTTAAACAGAAAATTGTGTGAATTAGTCATTGCACAAACTTCATTCTTTAAGAATGCAAAGGTAATGATTTGCAAATTAAGAAATAAGTGATTTTGGGCCGGACGCAGTGGCTCAAGCCTGTAATCCCAGCACTTTGGGAGGCCCAGGCCGGTGGATCATGAGGTCAAGAAATCGAGACCATCCTGGTCAACATGGTGAAACCCCGTCTCTACTAAAAATACAAAAAATTAGCTGGGCATGGTGGCGCGTGCCTGTAATCCCAGCTACTCAGGAGGCTGAGGCAGGAGAATTGCCTGAACCCATGAGGCGGAGGTTGCGGTGAGCCGAGATCGCACCATTGCACTCCAGCCTGGGTAACAAGAGCGAAACTTGGTCTCATAAAAAACAAAACAAAAGAAATAAGTGATTTTGGGGAAGTAAGTACACAATTATTTGTTATTTATACAACTGTTTTAAAATAATTTGACATTCTTGGATACCCTATACAGTAATTCTGTGAGTAAAGTTGATGATTATCAACTAATTATACTGCTACTTATTTCAAGACTAAAAAGCAAAATGATTTGCATAAAGCCAAAGAAACCATACCAGAGTTGAAAGAAAATGACATTAGTTATGTGGAATACAAAACATTTCACTTTTCAATTAGTTTGGTGGTGTCACTGAACAATAAGAAATAGTAATCTATTTTTGGAAATCAATGGCTTAGAAATATTCTTGGCTGCTTGATACTTCTTCTCAACAGGACACTATAATCTTAAATCTTAGTCCCCTGAAACATTGTCTTCAACTGATACTTTTATTAAAATTTAATTTTTATTTATGAAATTTTACCATAAAGTTGTCATTGTGACCAAAAGGAGGACAAATGGAAAAATACTTAAATAAAAGCCGAAATGATTAGATACTATTTTTAATTAGAAGACTTAATTCTACTTTTATACTTGTTAATTTTCAAAAGATTAGGTAAAACCTATCTCTTGTTTTGAAGAAGAACCAATTATCCTGGATTAGGAATTATGCTTAGAATAATGAATAAGGAAAATTTTTGTGTAACAAATTAATATCTTCCAGAAAAATGTGTGGAGCACTATCCACAATTATTCATTAACTAAGGGGCCTCATGAAGATGCCTACCACTTCAGAAAAATCGACTGCTATTGATGTTGTCATAAGAATAGTGAAGAGGCAGATCTTTCCCTGAAAGACAGCATACTTCACTACAAATTTAATATAAAAATAAATTATTTTTTAGAAAATCAAATATTGGGATCCCTGTCCCCAAGTGTAAGTCAATGCCCCTGTTCCCAAGCATAAGACTACAAAATAACAATTTCTCAATGGCTTTGAGCTGTTCCAGGTTTAGCCATTCAGGCACTGTTTTCTGATTAGCTCTATCTCTCAATCTTGCCATATCATTTTCCTCAGGCAGTTTAGGGAGGTGTGGAAGACTCTAGAGGCTGAGTAGCATGAACTCCCAAATACCTCCAACCTCCTAGACCATGTGCATGGACTGCTCTTCTTTCACAGTTTCGCATGGGGGAATTTAGGAAAAACTTCCACTTTTAAAACTCTATGTAGAGGAATGTGAATAACAACATTTCCCACTCATGAGCCTCACCAGAAATATCAGAGTTTTTGGATTTTCCAATCTTGAAACTTAAGTCCTTTGAGTATTACGCCAGGAATTCTCAACCTTTGTTGAGAAGCTCTCTGCAGGAGCTCTACCACTACCACAACATACACTCCCACCAGACTCCAAATTCCTAGGATGTATACTGTAAAAGCTCTACGGTGATTCTGACACATAACATGATTTGGGAACAAGGCTAGACTCTCTCTTGACATTCCTTTGAGGACCTAATGTTCTATTACGTGGAATTAAATTTTTCTCATTTAAACAATTACAAAGGGCAATCTTTGAGGCACACCAGTCAAATATGTAATAGATTTTTGATGTGAAGTCTTTGGTCACAAACATAACCCCAATCACAACAATGATTCTTTGGGCAAAGTCA